GGGGGGGTTGAAGTGTGGACAATGCTCTAATTGCATAATGAAGGGTAGTTAGGGCAGGTTTTCCCGGGGAATTCCCCTTCCCCATTCCCCTACCCTTAATTCCCCAAAACCTTATTTTCCCTTCATTCAATTCACACTCCTTTCCCTCACTCATCATTAGCCTTCTCTAGACTTTTCTTTCTCCATTTCTCACATACCAGATGCTACTGGGATGGAGGAGGTTATGGAGCTCGGGGGAATGGGTTCATCCATCTAATAGCAATAGCCTTGCGACACTTGCACCATGTTTCTTGTGGTAATAAACCAAATAAGCAAACTTTGGGCATGCAAGAAACTGGAAGATTAAGACCCCATTCACACTGAGCTACATCCAAAAACGCCCTTTTTTCAGAGCGATTTCGAGCTAAGCGACATTGAGCTACGTAGCGCGACTTTTCGCAGAGACTTCGTAGCTGCTGCATTGGGCTGTAACCAATCAAAAGCGGTCTTGATGTGACATCATTCCTTCCTTTTTATATTTCTGTGCAAAAGTGACACTTCTGTAGCGCGACATTGAGCTAATAAAGTCTATTGGAAGGATCGCACAAAATCCGCCAAAAAATAGATCATGTTTGAGCTACGAGCTTGAGCGACGAGCTATAGGCGACATTGAAATGCATTGGACGAGCTACATTGAGCTGATTTTGGAGCGATTTTGGAGCTGAAATCGCGCGATAAATCGTTCAGTGTGAACGGGGTCTTTGAATGCAGCCTGACGGTAAAGGTCGCTGGAACGTCACGCGGAAATCCGCTCGAGAGGCGAGTGTCGTTTAGTGTGAATGGGGCCTTAGTGGGGTAGCAAAGAATGTAGTGACTTGCTTTCAGAAATCCTCTATGGCTGGACAACTCCAGATGAGGTGCATAAAATCAGCATGGTTGCAGCATATACAGTGGCGGGTGCTCCTATGTCCCATTTTATGTAAATGGGACCGGGGATAGATAGGTCTTGTATAGAGCTGGATTAACTGGTTTTTGATCGCTGGTGAGACATACATACATACATACATACATACATACATACATACATAGCATCCCAGTCATTGTTTGACATGGTGAACAAAAGAAGCTGCCATTTAGTTCAGATTTAAAAGAGCGGGCTTGGTTATCGGATCCCGTTATGCACACAAGCTGGATTGTTGGCTTTTTCATGCTGAAATCGGCAGCAATTAAGACCCATGGGTGGCCTTGCTGATACCACACGGCTCGACAAAACTCGATCTTTCAATTGACTTTTATCAAAGAAACCAGGGAGAAAAAAAGGTCAGCCCAACACAGACTGCAGCCAATCACTAGCCACTGTTCAGGTATTATGACAGCCGTGGCGCCAGTTGACAAAATACAATAGCTGGCAGGAAGGATTTCTCCATCCATACTCTTTAGCATGGATAGGGAAATACAGTGATCTGTATCACTGTTGTGATTTTTGTTGTTCAGGGCTGAAGAAGAAAAATCCTGTGGTGTGTGTAGCTAGCTTCAGGAGGATGGGAGACAGTGCGTCAGGGCAGGCAATTAACACAGGAATTAGCAATAGGGCACAGGTCAGCATTACAATAACACACAATTAATTTTGGCTGCTTCAGAGCTCCTATTCTAGATGCCATGGTCCCCGGCTACCATTAGATACGGCAGACTTTCTAATCATACAGCTCCGCGGTGAGTTAATTGAATCCGAAGGGCACAATAGTGGGCAACTCCGGCCCTCCAGCTGCGCTTTAACTACAAAGTCCCATCATGCCTGTAACTGTTCACACCTAGGCGATTTGAGCACTTTTTTTAATGCATAGAGATGTCTATGGGACCAAAATCGCGACAACGGCACGAAAATAGCTCCTGCACCTTTTGACGCAAAAGGTGTGAATAGCCTTCATTGACTTCAATGTGAATCGGTGTTTTGCGCAATAAATCAGCCTACAGTCTTGCAATGCCTCATGGGACTTGTAGTTCCAAAACAGCTGTAGGGACAGAGTTGCCCACCCCTGCCCTAGGTGCCATGTCAGCCAGCTGAACCAGGGTTGGGATTCCTAGTTTCTTTGAAGTGACGCACACTGTTTTATTGGCTTAGGCTGGGCACACACCTTACAACCAGTGCAAGACAAAAGTCTTGCGCTGGTTGTAAGGTACTTAAAAAAACGTACGATCTGCCTATCTTGCATAGGCAGATCGTACTTTCGATGATCACAAGCCACGCCCCCTGAGGGGCGGGCTTCCGATGACCGCAATGCCGAACGGGCAGTGTGCGCTTGCGCACACCGGCCCGTACGGCTGTTGTACGGACATGCCACAAACCCGCCGAACATCGTACGATGCTCGGCGGGTTTTCGAACATGTCCGTAAGTTTAAAGTCGTGCGACCTTACAGTAGAAGAGGTCGCACGGCTTCCACACACCTTACGATAATCGTACGATCGCGGCATTTCCCGCGATTATCGTACGATTATCGTAAGGTGTGTGGGGACCTTTACGTTCAGTTAGAGAGTCAGAATCTTAGAACACTGACCACAATCAGGATGAATCACGTAAACGCCAGGAGAATCAAGATGAACTTTAGAGCCATATAAAACGCCGGATGCAATATTAACTAGGATTGTCCCTTTAAAGTGTACATATACCCAAATAAAATATTTTGTATTGGACAGAGTAGGGAAAACCCCGTTTTTTTTTTTTCTATTCGTGTCCCGTTGGGGAGATTTTCCTTCACTTCTTGTCCTGCAGAAGCGACAAGTGATAGAAAATCTCTGCAAAAAAAAGGGAATTCCCCTCTTAGATCCCATTCACCCTTCCAACAGGCATGAATGTGCGTAACGCTTTGTAGCATATTACTGCAAGGCAACTCATTTATTTCAATGGGATGCCCTACGTGTAGCAGCAGTCTGAGCTGCAAGCTCTGTGCGTTTGTCGCACCAAGACACAAATCCTATTTGCCGGGTTCGGGTCTCATTCACATAAGAGCAACAAATGCTTTCCCCAATTAGGCACAATTTTGCGCACATTCATATGTGGCAAGTGCGAATGGGGGCTTAGGCAGATCAGGTGTTTCCAGTTGAAGATTTCCCTCACCCGTCACTCAGGTGACAACTGTAAGGCTCCATTCTCACCTATATTTTAGGTCCAATTAGAGATTCCTGCGCCAGGAACTTGCGATTTCCTGCAGCACTCTCTCCTGCATTCTGGGGTGAGAGGCATTGCATTTTTTTTTTTGCTATCCCACTGTACCAGAATGCAGGCATTGTTTTGCTACTCGTTCCGGTGCGGGCGATCGCACTGCAGGCGGGGCTGCCGTGCCATTGACTTGAATACACTGACACCCCCCTCCTGCCATAGAACGCAGGGGGGAGTTTAGTGTGTGATACAGTGCGTTCCAGCAGCTAACCGCTCTGGAATGCACTGTAATTGATGTGACCAAGCCTTGAATGGGTGACTTGTAAACAGCAAATTAGGGATTCCTGCTGCAGGACATTGCCAGTTCTTGGTGCAGAAATCCCCAGTCGCACCCAAGACCCCATTCACACTGAGCTACAACAAAATAAGCACTGATTTGAGCTGGGCATTGAGCTACAGGGCACATTTTGTCACGGTACGTATCGGTTCTTTTGGCAGTCCATCAATCTATTGGAGCCAAATCACTCGAAATCCGCCGAAAAATAGTTCGGTCGACAAGCTCCAGCTACAAGCTACATTGAGCTGCAAGATGTGAACATCTCCATTGAAAAGCATTGAGCTTCATAGTTGAACGATTTTTGAGCGGAAATCATGCTACAAAACGCTCAGTGTGAATGGGGGGGGGGTCTTGATGTAGGTGTGAATGGAGCCTGAGCGCCGGTGCACACTAAGGCGACTCCTGACCATGATACCGCACAGTCTCGGAGTCGCCCAGCACAGACGATCGCGCTGTGGATGCCATTATTTTCTAATGGCACTCCAGTCGCGCTGGGCGGATCGCGCGGGATTCCGCCAGTGCATCTGAACATGGTCGCGGCTAAAACAGTGGGGCCGCGCGAACCAATCGAGGTCTGCATTTGTGCAGGACCACGCGATCCCGGATGGATCAGGTCCTCAAAACATTTGTCATACACGGCTGTAAAAACACGGATACATTTTGAAACAAAATCCA